CCTTACACACACATGGCACATAACTCACTCAGGATTGGTTTCATAGACACTCTAGTCAATGCAGTTAAGCAAAGTTAAGATCATACAATTTAAGGTACTTCTACAAGAGTCAAAAATTTAGCCTAAGCATCACAACCAAAGTACTAAGTATTCTCAAGGCATAACAAAGTCAAGAGATATTGCTTCAATTCAAAGCACAACACAATGGCTCATATTCCTAAAAAAAACTAACTACACCCGATTCAAATAAAACCCTTGGAAAAGAACCGTGGTTTAAAGAAAAACCAAGGGGTAATTGTTACACTCCCTAACAAAAGAAAATCTTTTTGTTTTATTTTTTTCTTTAGACTTAAATCCCTCAAGAAAATTGTCTAATAGATCCATCGTCGGGAAAAGTCCAATCCTTTTTTTTCGTTTTTTTCTAAAAAGAAAAATAAAAAAAATTATTCAATTAAACTAACACAACTAAAATAGCATAGAAAGTCACCCAGACAATCTCTTCACCCCACACTTAAAATTGTGCATTGTCCCCAATGCACACCATACTAATAAGAGGGTAAAAAAAACTCCCTGGTAGGTCAAAGGCCGAAGCATTAACAACTCATGGGGTACTCAGACTTCTCCCAAGCTTGGTCCTTTGTGCGGGTACCTTACACTTAGTTCCAACCATTTGGTTTGTTGTTGCATCCTTCCAATACCTTTGCTTTCCATGCTCCTAGAAAATAAAAAAATTGACACTACAAAAATAATACAATTTAAAAAATAAAAAATAAATAAAAGAAGCAATAAAGCTGGGTTGCCTCCCAACAAGCGCTTGATTTAACGTCACGGCACGACGTGAGTTACTTTCTGCCTCCACTTTGAACTTATGAATCGGACCCCAAGTTTTGATTCTGCTCTATGATCATGCTCCTGGGGTGGTGGAACGAATCTGAGTGGCCCAATAAAATAATGTAGTATTCTGCACTTCTTGGCCTTTGATGAGGTGTGTAATCCCGACTTTCTGGCAAGAAGAATTCCAGAATGTAAGCACTTTGTTCTTCATTCCTTGACTCCTCAAACGGCTCAGACGACTCTATTTCCATATCATCATCTAAACACAATGTGGAAAAATGCTTGGAGTGAGGACCCATGCGCTCAACTACATGAACATTGGGACTATCTACATTCTCAACACTAATGACAATAGAGTCAACTAAATATGTATCCTCAATATCCTTGGTTGACTCTAGTATCTCTTCTACAACATCGACATCCTCAAAATCTAGTGTGATTGATTGTTGGTGTTCTACTCTAGCCTCCTCCTCTAGCTCATCATTTTTTGTCTCTAATTCACGCTCTTCTTGGATACTATTCACAATATTGGCTTGTTGAGCATTAAAAACTTCAACCAGTTGACTCATGTGAACTTTCAAGTTGTGAATAGTTTCCTCCTGCCTTTCTATCCGCAGTAGTAATTTACTCTGTTGTTCCAAAATGCACTTTAACATATCTTCGAGCTTCTTTAGGTCCGCTTCCCTAGGTTCTTTATTCCTATTAACTTCACCAGAAAAAGAAGAACCATCAAAGTAAGGGGTTGGGGGAAGGTAAGAAATATAAGCACAACCGTGAAAGTGACCATCTTGACCACCACACATATCACACACATTCCACACATAAGATTGAGTTGGTACACAAAACTCGCTCTCAAGAATATTTTGATAATTTTGCCCTGGGTGGTTTCCTTCACAATATGCATAAGGAGGATCAAAAGTAGAATTACCAACAACAAAATTCTCATAATTCCATGATGTCATATTTCTCAAATAAACAAATAAAACTATAAAAAAATTAAAAAAATCAAATAATAAAAGAAAAGTTCAAACTTGAAACCTAGCAATATGTACACCTACAACTACACCGTTAGTTCCCCGGCAACGGCGCCAAAATTTGATCACGCCCAACTATGCCTTCTAAAAAGGACAATGCGGTCGTTGCAAATATAATCCGGTAAACAAGTCCGGAGTCGAATCCCACAGAGAATTAACCTATCAATTACCTTTGTTGGAATCACTAAATCATTTATAATCACTTTCCCAAACTTTGTAAACAATATTGGATGGTATTTCTACTAACTAAGATTGAAAATAAATAACTAACAGTTGTAAACTAAATATTCTTGGGTTGACAACAATAATGAGAAGGTTCTAAGGTAGTGATTTCCCCTATTGATAGAATCCCTTCCGGTTATGCTTCATATAGATTCACCAAAATATCTCTATCAATCATGAGCACTCTCTTTACCGTAAATCTCTCCCGAGTAATTGCGATAATTTACTAGACGCACTCTCCCGAGATACGATAGCTGCCTTTGTTTATTACAGCTCACTTTAAATCACACCCAAGGCTTCGTTATCCCTAATCCCGCCTTTAAACCCGCAATTATAGATCCCTCTTATACTTTGGGAGTGGTGTTGTTCAATAATTACCTAAATATTCACTCTCTCCCGAGTTATGCATACTAAATAGGCACAGCTAATTGAGAGCTCTTCAATCAACCAGAATATAAACGTAGT